AGGAGGAGGAGGAGGAGGAGGAGGAGGAGGAGGAGGAGAAGGAGGAGAAGGAGGAGAAGGAGGAGAAGGAGAGATATCCTAGACAGGTGCAAACTTAAATGCTATGGAGGCAAAAGGCTGCCTTGATTGGGTTGCCAACCTCCAGGAGACAACTGGAGATCTCCCACTATTACAGTTGATCTCCAGGCGACAGAGATCAGATTCCCTGGAGAAAAAAGGCTGCTTTGGAGGGTGGACTCTGTGGCATCGTACCCTGCTGAGGTCCCTCCCCAAACCCCGCCCTCTCCAGGCTCCACCCCTGAAATGTCCAGGAATCTCCCAACCCGGAGCTGGCAACCCTGTGTGTTCACCGGCCGTTTGCCCCCCAGGGCTACCTCCTTGGCCAGGTCGTTGGCTAGAATCCCTGTTTCTCTCCTGCTTTTCCTGCCACTCCAGTCCACCTTCTCCCTGGTTTCTTTCCTTGATCCTTCCACACAAGAAGTTCCCCGCAGAGCCCTCTAGGCCAGGCCCCAAGGCAGCTGCTTGGCTCGCCAACCTCCAGGTGGCCCCTGGAGTTCTCCTGAGATAACAACTGATCCCCCAGACTGCAGAGATCAACTTCCCCTGGGGGGCAAGAAGATGTACAGTTGGAAGGTGGGTTCCAGGGCACGGCATCTCCCCTCCACTCCCTGCCTTTCTCAAATCTCCAGGAATTTCCCAAGCTGGAGCTGGAAAGTCTAGCAAACTACTGTCCTTAGCATACAATATTATATTGCCTGTATACCTTGGCGCTCTATTTTGCTATAAGGGTTAATTGACACTACAGGGCTCTTTTTGTAGAAAAAGCCCAGCAGGAACTCATTAGCATAATAGACCACACCCAACAGCAGGAACTCATTAGAATATTAGGCCACACTGCTGACTGCACAGCTCATTACATTAGGCCGCACCCCCATGTTACCAGAAGTGTGGTCATCCAGCCACACCCACATTTTGCTTCTTATTCTGTTTACCTTGTTTGTTGTCAAAACCCAGGGCTTTTTTTGTAACAGGAACTCCGTTGCATGTTAGGCCACACACCCCTAATGTAGCCAATCCTAATGAGTTTCTGCTGTTGGGTGTGGCCTATTATGCTAATTAGTTCCTGCTGGGCATGGCCAACTTGGGAGCCAGCCGGAACTCCGTTCCGGCGCGTTCCTGCCCAAAAATAGCCCTGCTGATAGACCTTTCTGCCTTCATGATTTTTTTCTGTTCTGGAATAAGGACCTTGACCTCGTCGCCACTTAGAAATCCTCCTTTTTCGGCCCTAAATTTAAAAGCCTTGGCTGTCTTATGGCCTCTCTTCCGAGTGAAAGCTCTGAACCAGCTGGAAAGGTTAACACACACACGCCTGGGAACTCTGGTACTGTCAGGATACTGAACTTTCTACAGAACGGAGGTCCCCAACGTGGTGCCTGTGGGCGCCACGGCACCACCCACCCCTTTCCTGGCACTGACCTAGTGTTTTTAGAAAGGGGCGGGGCCAAGTGCAGCTTCTGCTCAGTAGGGCTTCTGACTGGCCATTCTCATTGGCTCTGCAGCTTAGAAGAATGTGATGGTTTTTATTCTCTTTCTCACTCCTCTTTCCCAGTGTATTTTTAAAAATACACTGGCACTTGGGCTTCCTGTCTGTGTGTGCGTGTGTGTTCACCTCCCCACAGTGGCCATTCTGTGACCTCACTCCCTGGCATTTTGTGGCTGGCTCCACCTCTCACAGCCATTTTGTACTTGCACCCACCCACCTCATGTCAAAATTCCAAAGATAGCCACAGTAGGGTTGCCAATCCCCAGTTGGGAGCAGAAGATCCTCTGGCTTGGAGCCCCTCCCCCTGCTTCAGGGCTGTCAGAAAGCGTGGGGTGGGGGTGGGAATGGTTGCTAGGAGCTCCATTATACTCTATGGAGACCGGTCCCCATAGGGTATAATGGAGAACTGATCTGTGGGTATCTGGGGCTCTAGGAGGACTGTTTTTTGAGGTAGAGGCATCACATTTTTAGCATACCTGGTGGTTCCTCTCCTGAAAAAAAACCCCATGTTTCAAAAAGATTGGACCCAGGGGTCCAGTTCTATGAGCCCCAAATGGAGGGAAAGCATTGAAAAGGAATGCAGTCCGTTTAAATGTGATGGCCAGAACTCCCTTATGGCTTGTCAGCCTCACCTGGCAACCCTAGTGACATCACAAAAGTGATGTTGCAGCCTTGCTCCTGGCTCCACCCACAGTGTTCCCTCTAAGCTGAGTTGGTGTGAGCTAGCTCACAGTTTTTTAGCCTCCGGCTCGCTCAGGAAGGATGGCTCCAGAGCAAATTAATTTATGCAACAGCCAAATCGCTCGCTCACCACTTTAAGGCCAGTAGCTCACAGAGTAGAATTTCTGCTTGCAAGACTCCACAGCTTAGAGGGAACATTGCCCACAAAGTCTCCTGGCTCCACCCACAAAGTCCCCAGATATGTCCTGAGTCGGACCTGGCAACCCTAATCCACAGGCTCGAAAAGGTTGGGGACCCTTGCTATGGGAAGAAATCTGCAGCCCATTTCCTGTTCCCAGGCTTCCTTGGACAGGATGCGTGACTTGTTCACACCAGCTTGAAAAGCACACGCCTAGTTTACGCACACAGTGTAGTGCAAAAGTTATTTGGTGTTCCTGAGCACGTTGGATTCTGGTCTAATTCAGCCTTGCATCTACAACTACCGACTAATCTACCTTCTCGACCTGTCTACACTACCTTCTCAACCTGTATATGCTACCTTCTCAACCTGTATATTTATTTCATTATTTCATTAAATTTATCAATTGCCCACCCTGCAAGCAGGCTCTTGCAGATATTCCTGAGCTCTCTCTCTCTCTCTCTCTCCCCCTCCTCCAAAAGATGCTGGGCCAGCAAAAGGTCCCCTGAACGTGGGGGGGGGGCGCCAAGCCCACCCTTCCCCAGCGTCTCCCCCTCTCCGTCATCCGTGTGTGTTCAACAGGACTTCCAGCCAGCAGGGGCAAGACGTGATGAACCGGCGGGAGTAGCTGGGCCCCCAGCCTTTGGTGAAGCTGATGCGGACGGTGTGGGCGTCGCACGGCCCATCGTCCGGGTCCCGCCACCCCTCCAGGCCGCTCGCGCGCTCGTAGTCGAAGGCCTTGATGGAGTAACCGGGGAGGATCTTGTGCACCGCCGGACCCAGGGTGGGAGAGCTGACAAACACAGGGTGGTCGCTGCGGTTGTAGGCCCAGACGTGGCCTCCTTCTCGGCTGAGCGTCAGGCCTTGCCCGATCTTGGCCCGCGCGCGCCGGACGGCCTGGCTGCGGCTTCGGGACACCAGCTGAGCCACGCAGAAACCGCCGCCGGCCGGGAGCTCGGAGAAGACGTTCACGAAGTCATCGTGCACGGGGTAGAGCCTTCCCACCCGTGAGCGGTACTCCCAGTAGGCCAGCTTACACCAGGAGCCATCTTTGAGGGAGTGCCGAGAGAGGCTGGTGTCTGCGGAAGGAGAATCGAGGAGCGAGTGAATCGAGGCGCGCCCTCCACCCCATGCAGGCTCCCAAAGGTCCCCCCCTCCAATTACAGTGTTCCCTCTAAGCTGAGTTAGTGTGAGCTAGCTCACAGTTTTGTAGCCTCCGGCTCACACATTTCTGTCTTAGCTCAGGAAGGATGGGGCTCCAGACAAACGAATGTATGCAGCGGCCGAATTGCTCGCTCATAACTTTAATGCCGGTAGCTCACAAAGTAGAATTTTTGCTCACAAGACTCCACAGCGTAGAGGGAGCATTAAGTAGACATTTCCTCCAGGGGAACCGATCTCTGTCGCCTGGGGATCAGTTGTAATCTTAGGCGATCTCCAGCCACCATACGGAAGTTAAAAGTAAGATGGATGGAACGGTAAACAGCAAAATACAAACGTGATATAACACCTACATCTTGGTATTCTCAAAGCTTAGTGCAACGGTCTTCACCTTTTCACAGCCTACCAAAGTTTCTATTTATAGACATTCCACCAAACCTCTAAGGATGAAAACGCGTCAGTCGATACATTAAACAGTCCTGTTTTATGGTCTGTTTTTCTTTTCTTTTTCACTTCCGCCTTGTAGTTTTCCATAGCACCTCCTGCGGTTTCCACAATCTGGGTTGGGAAATACCTGAGAGACTTTTGGGGGTGGAGCCGGGAGAGGGCGGGGTTTGGGGAGGGGAGGGGCCTCAGCAGGGCACAAGGCCACAGAGTCCACCCTTCAAAGCAGCCATTTTCTCCAGGGGAGCTGGTCTCTGTCGGCTGGAGATCAGTTGTAAAAGCGGGAGATCCCCAGGCCCCACCTGGAGGCTGGCAACCCACAACGGGACGTCTCAGACTCTGCTTCACTAAGGCAGAGCCTGTGTAGAATAGGTGGGGCCTGGGGATCTCCCGCTTTTACAACTGATCCCCAGCCGACAGAGATCAGCTCCCCTGGAGAAAATGGCTGCTTTGAAGGGTGGACTCTGTGGCCTTGTACCCTGCTGAGGCCCCTCCCCTCCCCAAACCACGTCCTCTCCTGGCTCCACCCCCAAAGTCTCTCAGGTATTTTCCAAACCAGACTTGGCAACCCTAGCGTAGAATGATTCCTCCAAGTTTTAATACTTATTTAATTATTCATTCATTACATTACATTTATTAATCGCCTAATCCCCACAACTGTGGGGCTCTAGGCAATGTATTTCCCATTGTTATTCACTATATAGACTTCCAGCTTGCTGCTGAATTCTGTCCTGTTTGTTAAACCTTCTAGTAATATCTGGTTTGTTAGAAGGCCCGTGATCTCTCTTCACAAACCCTTGCCAAATTTATCCAACTTGGCACTTCAAATCGGCTGCAGGTACGACACGGACGAGGAAGAGAAAAACGGATCACAAATCAGGACTGTTTACACGGATGTATCGATGAGCCTGTATTCGCCCTTGGAGGTCGGGTGGGATGTTTATAAACAGAAACTTTTGTTGATTGTGAGAAGGCGAGGGAGTTGCACAACCTGGAGGTTGGCAACTCTCACTGGACTCCGAGCCCTGCAGACCCAGTTTGGTGTAGTGGTTAGGAGTGTGGACTCTAATCTGGGAGAACTGGATTTGATTCCCCCCCAGTGCTGCCTCTAAGCTGTGGAGTCCTGTGAGCAGAAATTCTGCTTTGTGAGCTACTGGCATTAAAGTTGTGAGCGAACGATTCGGCCACTGCCTAAATTAGTTTGCTCTGGAGTCATCCTTCCTGAGCTAAGACAAAAAATGTGTGAGCTGGAGGATAAAAAACTGTGAGCTACCTCACACCAACTCAGCTTAGAGGGAACACTGTTCCCCACTCCTCCACATGCAGCTGCTGGTGTGACCTTGGGTCAGTCACAAGTTCTCTCAGAGCTGTTCTCTCAAGGGCAGTCCTCCAAAGAGCTGTCTCAGCCCCACCCACCACACAGGGTGTCTGTTGTGGGGAGGGGAAGGGAAAGGAGATTGCAAGCCGCTCTGAGACTCCTTCGGGTAGTGAAGGGCCGGGTAACAATCCAATCTCTTCTTCAGTTTGGTGTAGTGGTTAAGTGTGCGGACTCTAATCTGGGAGAGCCGGGTTTGATTTCCCCACTCCTCAACTTGCACCTGCTGATGTGACCTTGGGTCAGTCACAAGTTCTCTCAAGGGCAGTTCTCAAAAAGCTCCCTCAGCCCCACCTACTTCACAGGTTGTCTGTTGTGGGGAGGGGAAGGGAAAGGAGTTTGTAAACCGCTCTGCGACTCCAAGTGAAGGGCGGGGTATAAATCCAATCTCTTCTTCTTCTCTTTCTTCTTCTCCTGCCACCCTGGGCAACATCCCCTGCCAGGCCTGCGGGCCTGCCTCCATGCTGGGGAAAGCCTGAGCTGTGTGTGAAGAAATACGCTTTTTTTTGGACCCTGTCTGAATCGGGCCTTCCCAAGGGAAGTCTGGAGGAAGACGGATCCTGCGGCGCAGACGCCGACTGATGTGTGTGTGTGTGAGGCGCTGGGGGGCAGGGCTGCTCTAAAAACGGAACATCCTGGGACAGGGGAACTGGGGATTCCCACGAGAGCCCCGGCCCCTGCGGCAGAGCTGTGAGCCAGCACGTAGGCTGGGGACACCACGCCAGGGCCACGTCGCCGTCAGCTGGGCCGGAGGGGAAGCAGAGCCGGGAGGCGCCGACTGTGCTCAGATGTGGCGTTGCGGGCCGGGCGCCAGAGTCCCGCTTGGCTTTGTACGTCAAGGCACATTGTCTGCGACTCCGCAGGCCCAGCTTCCTCCGGGCAGGCGAGAACCAGAAATAACCGGGGGCAGCCGTTTGTTCTCTCCCCCCCATTTAGTTCTCAGGAAGGCCTTTCGGCTGCGCCTCCTCCCTTACGGCTTTTCCTCCTTCTGGGAGGGGGGCGGCCGCACGGAGGAGTCACAGGACAGTCCGCTGCAGAAATCTATAGTGGACGCCGGCTAGGTTTTGTTCTGGAGTTTGTCAGCAGAGACAGCCGTCTCTCTCTCGACCTCCCCGGAAAGAGATAAGGCTACCCACAGACACGACCTGGCAAAGAGATAAGGTTACCCACAGACACGACCTGGCGCTACCAGCCCGACCCACCCCCTGCAGCAGATTTGGGGCACCCTTCAAGAGGCCCCGGGTTTGAACCACAGCATCCCTCCTGTGTGCCCCAGATGGAAAGAAGGGCCCTTAGAGAGCCAGTGTGGTGCAGCAGTTAAGACTGTTGGACTACAATCTGAGAGACCCGGGTTCGAATCCTCACTCTGTCATGGAAGCTTGCTGGGTGCCCTTGGGCCAGTCACAAACTCTCTCAGCCTTACCTTTTTTTCCCCCCAATTCTGATGAGTTTTAATTTATGGTGAGCATAGACGGTAGCATCAAGCTCCAAGTTACCACTGTTTCTTAGAACCAGAAAGGGGGGGGGGAATCAGAATCCTAGTGTTTGACTGGCTCTTCAGAACATTTCTCCGTATTCAATAACTTTAAGGCTTTTGTATAAATGACAGGACACAGATTACTACACTCTCTCTCAGCCTTACCTACCTCACAGGGTTGTTGTGAGGAGAAAATGGGGGAGAGGAAGAAGAGGAGGAGGAGGAGATTGCATTCATACCCTGCCCTTCACTACCCGAAAGAGTCTCAGAGTGGCTTACAATCTCATTTCCTTTCCCCTCCCCACAACAGACACCCTGTGAGGCAGGTGGGGCTGAGAGAGCTCTGAGAGAACTGCCCTTGAGAGAACAGCTCTGAAAGAACTCGTGACTGACCCAAGGTCACACCAGTAAGTGCATGTGAAGGAGTGGGGACTCAAACCCAATTCTCCCAGATTAGAGTCCGCGCTCTTAACCATGACACCAAACCGGCTCCCAGAAGGATGTAACAGGAGAAGGATGTAAGCAGTTTTGGGTCCCCCACTGGGGGAGAAAAGAAAAATACAAATAAAGTAAAGAAACAAAATAAAAAAATAAAGTTGACATCTTCTGCAAAATCTGACATTGCTGAAGGTTGGCTGGAAGCCATGCATTTATTTACCCCACAAAAAAAAAAAAAATTCCCGAGTAGGCTGTATGCAGGCACGGTGCATTTTTAGGCACACAGCTCAGTATTTCTGCGCATGCCTTTCTAAACATGTGTTTGCATGTGAACTGCATGCTTGGAGAAGAGGAAGAAGAAGAAGAAGAAGAAGAAGAAGAAGAAGAAGAAGAAGAAGAAGAAGAAGAAGAAGAAGAAGAAGAAGAAGAAGAAGAAGAAGAAGAAGAAGAAGAAGAAGAAGAATTTATATCCCGCCCTTCACTTGGAGTCTCAAAGCGGCTTACAAACTCCTTTCCCTTCCCCTCCCCAGAGTCCCCACAACAGACACCCAGGTGCAAGTGGAGGAGTGGCGAATCAAACCCGGTTCTCCCAGATTAGAGTCCACACACTTAACCACTACACTAAACTGGCACGTGTGCCAGAGAGAAGACAAACCCACAAAGCTGCCTTCTACGGAAGAGACCTTTGGTCTGTCAAGATACAGTGCTGTCTCCCTGGACCGGCAGCCGCTCTCCAGGTCTTTCACATCATCTGACCTTTTCAGCTGGAGACGCCAGGGACTCAGCCTGGGACTTTCTGTGTGCCACGTAGATGCTCTACCACTGAGCCTCTCTCTAAGAAGCCACATCCCCTCTCCAGGGACTCAGGCAGAGGTCTTTCACATCTGCCTGGTCCTTTGACCTGGAGATGCCGGGGACTGAACCTGGGACCTTCCACGTGCCAAGCAGAGGCTCTACCCCTGAGCCACAGTCCCTCGCCAAAACATGTAGACCAAATCAGACTATTGGTCTATCAGGGTCAGTACTGTCTGCTCAGACTCACGGTAACCCTCCAAGGTCTTTCCCATCACCTACGAATCAATCCCTTTGAGATGCCGGGGACTGAACCTGGGACCTTCTGCATGCCAAGCAGAGGCTCTACCCCTGAGCCACAGTCCCTCGCCAAAACATGTCGACCAAATCAGACTATTGGTCCATCAGGCTCAGTACTGTCTGCTCAGACGCACGGTGACTCTCCAGGGTCTCCGGCGGAGGTCTTTCCCATCACCTATGAATCGATCCTTCAACTGGAGATGCCAGGGACTGGACTTGGGTCCTTCTGCATGCCAAGCAGGTGCTCAGACTGCGCCCCTGTGGTGTCTGTGCCCTAGGCGGCTGCCTAGGTCGCTCTAATGGATGCACTGGCCCTGGCTCTAGCCCTGAACCACAGCTCCTCCTCTCCATTTCAGGGCTAAACTACATGGGCCAGCTGAGTTCCAGGACTAGAACTCCTGACATGTAATATGGGTCTAGGAAGAAGCCATAAGAGGGCCTGGTCTGGATTTCAGCGGGGGGAGGTGTGTGGTGGCGAGGAATGCCTCATCTTTCCCCCCTGCATCATTTCCCTGATTAAAAATGACCGCATGATGAGCCACTTCAAGCCCCAGTAGGTCCCCACCCCCTGCTCTGGATGGCCCAGGCTAACCGGATCTCATCAGATCTCAGAAGTTAAGCAGGGTCGGCCCTGGTCAGTCCTTGGATGAGGGCAATGCTCCCTCTAAGCTGTAGATTCTTGTGGGCAAAAATTCTGCTTGGTGAGCTCCTGGCATTAAAGTTGAGAGCGAGCCATTTGGCTACTGCATCAATGAGTTTGCTCTAGAGATGTGAAGGCCCGGGAAAAAAACGGAAAAATTCGGAAAAAACCCAGTTTTTTTCCGTTTTTTTCCTGAAGCCTTTTTTGTTTTTTTCCGAAAAATTGGAAAAATTGAAAAAAGAAAAGAAAAGAAAAAAAATTGATTATGGAACGTTTTATTTTAACATGATGACTAAAATATTTTAAGACAAGGTGTTCAAATATTTTCCAAATCATTTCTAATATATATGGTATCAGATTGATCTAATGCTTGAGCAAGTCCTAGGTTCCAATTGAACTCTCCAGTGCAAGAACAAGATGCATTTCTTCCTTTAGGAGGTGCTATTGTCAGAAGAAAATAAAAAGGTTTCAGTTTTGTTTTTGCATGTGAGTGGGTATTCTGTTTGTAATGATTGTTTGGATACACTATATTTTTAATGTGCTAGTTGTGATAATTTCATGCCAAGTAAAAATGTTCATAGTCATATTTTATGTTCCTAAAGTAACAGAATGACTTTCAATCTAGAAAAGACAAAAGAAATGATAATGTAGCATTTTTTTCAATTTTTCCGAAAATTTCCGTTTTTTTCCGAGCTTCAAAATTTCCGGAAATTTTACATCTCTAGTTTTGCTCTGGAGCCCTCCTTCCGGAGCTAAGACAAAAAATGTGTGAGCCGGAGGCTTAAGAACTGTGAGCTAGCTCACACTATCTCAGCTTAGAGGGAAAACTGGATGGGAGTCGCAGGCAATGGCAAACCACCTCTGAACCTTGCCTCGAAACCCCCCTCAGGATCACCATTTGTTGGGACGGCAGGAATAAAAAGTACCCACATGACACTCGTCACTTTACTGACATTTGAGATAGTCAACAGAAGGGGGGGGGGAGCTTATCTCCCTCTTCCCCTAGCAGCCTGGCTCTGACCCTTCTCTCCACCCCCAGCATGCAGAGGTGCAGCTGTTTAACATCTGGCGACCCTGGGGGACAGAAGGAATGAAAAAGAAGAGGAAGAAGAAGAGATTGGATTTATACCCCGCCCTTCACTTGGAGTCTCGAAGCGGCTGACAAACTCCTTTCCCTTCCCCTCCCCACAACAGACACCCTGTGAGGTGGGTGGGGCTGAGAGAGCTCTGACACAAACTGCTCCTGACCTGGATGGACCCATGTTCTGATTCAGCTTAAGGGAGCTTCAGGGGTCCGCTTTACTCAGCCTTGGAAACAGGTTCTGGACTCACCCCAGGAGCCGTTCCCACCCATTGCAAATCCCCTGGCTGGCAGTCCCCCCCCCCTCCGGCTTCCTTCTCACCTTGCCAGGCTTTGCGCTTGTTGTCCAAGGCACTGGGCCACTTCAAGGGAATGGCAAAGGGGGAGATCTTGCAGTACGGGGGCGGAGGAGTCTCTGGAAGGGGGGAAGAAAACAGGAGAGGGGTGAATTCTCAGCAGGCGTCCCCCCCTGTGTCGGCTATAGAAGAGCCACGGTGTTGCGGAGCCCCGGCTTTGCAAGCAGAGAGGCTTGGCAGGACCCCTTCCAGGGGGTCACCACCAGGGGTCATTTCCTACAGGAGCGCACAGGAGCGGAGCTCCGGCAGTAAAGAGCCCAGGGGGCGGGCACATGCAACAAGCCCCGCCCCCTGCTCCCAGCAGCCCTCAGTCAGAGCCAGTAGCAGCCAGGTAAGTTGCAGAGCCCCCCCCTGGCCCCCCCAGTCCAAAACAGTCCAGTGGCACCTTTAAGACCAAGTTTTATTCAGGTACAAGCTCTCCCTCCTCTGCGAGGACAGATCTGCACGTTTCCCCCCCACCCCTCAATAGCTAGCAATCCAAAACAGTTCAGTGGAGCCTGAGCGGTGGGTGTTGCCTTCTGACACACTTCCGGTGACATCAGGGGGTGTGGCGTATGCTAATAAGTTATGCTAATGAGTTATGCAAATGACCTCATGCACCTCTTTTTCTACGAAATGACCCCGGCCACCACACCAGGTTGCAAGGAGCCAACTCTATCTGAAAGGCTGTCATTTGGAGGAGGGCAGGGAGCTGTTCCAGTTGGCAGCGGAGGAGAGGACCCGGAGCAATGGGTTCAAATTCCGTGCAGAAAGGTATCGGCTGGATCTTAGGGAAAAGTTTGTCACGGTCAGAGTGGTTCAGAGGTGGAATCATCAACTGCCTAGGGAGGTGGCGGGCTCCCCTTCCCTGGCAGCTTTCAAGAAGAGGCTGGATGAATATTTGTCAGAGATGCTTTAGGCTGGTCCTGCACTGGGCAGGGGGTTGGACTAGATGGTCTGTATGGACCTGTAATGTATCCAATAAGCTGCCATTGAATGCCTAATGTGTTATGAAAACATCTAATTGAAATCCTATGTTAAGCTTCGTCCTGGGCTAGGATCCAAATACATCCAATCACATTGCTAGCCCAGGAAGCACCTAACCAATCACTATCAACAAGCTCCCTGAGCGGGAATGTCCGTGATTGGTCCTTATGTATGCAACCTTATTGGTCGGTAAATGTACAGTAGGCGTGGCTACATTAGCCGGGAGAGTTTAAAAGCACAACAGCTGCAATGCAAAAGCTGCTCTGGCTATCAGATGTTGATCCGTGTTGGAGTTGTGGAATAAAGCTGAATCTTTGCTGAATCACTCTCCGACTACTTTGTTAAGCGAGCGACTTAACAGGACCCTTCCAACTCTGTGAGTCTAGGATTCTGTGAATTCCTGGATACACGGGGTTGGAGCCTGGGGAAGGTGGGCGGGGACCTCAGCAGGGTAGAATCATAGAACCATCCAATCACAGAGCGGGAAGGGGCCCTACAGGCCGTCCAGTCCCACCCCCTGCTCAGTGCAGGATCAGCCCAGAGCATCCTTGACCAGTGTCTGTCCAGCCGCTGCTTGAAGACTGCCAGGGAAGGGAATGCCCTAGACCCCACCCTCCAAAGTAGCCATTTTCACCGCGGGAACTGGTCGCCATGGTCCGGAGAACAGTCCTAATTCCAGGAGATCTCCAGGCCCCACCTGGAAATTCGCAATCCCTACTTGCCACACCGATAACCCCATGTCTGAGCTGCCCCCCCCCCCCCCTGCACCTACGGTGTGTGAAAGGGGAGGCTGGGCACGACACGGGGGTCTTAGGACCTAAGGAGTCTTCAGGTCAGGGTGGTCCGGGTCCACCGTGGAGACTGCCAGATGTGCTGCTCCGCTGTGAAAACCCCTGCAGACCATGCCAGGACACACAGAGCCCCCCGGTGGGGCAAACAGCAGTCCCCCAGGGCCATTTCTGACTGGGGGAAAAGCACAGGGAGAAAGCGGAAGGTCTTTCGCCTCGCACGTTGCACAGCCCTCACATGAACACATGAAGCTGCCTTCTACTGAATCAGACCCTTGGGTCCGTCGGGGTCAGGATTCTCTACCCAGACTAGTTGCAGTTCTCCAGGGTCTCAGGCAGAGGGTCTTTCCCGTCACCTACTGCCTGGTCCTTCCAACTGGAGAAGCTGGGGATTGAACTGGAGACGGTGGGGATTGTCTACTCAGACCGGCAGCAGCTCTCCAGGGTCCCAGGCAGAGGTCTTCCCCATCACCTACCACATGGTCCTTTTAGCTGGAGATGCTGGAGGTTGAACCTGGGACCTCCTGCATGCCAAGCAGATGCTCTACCACTAAGCTAAAGCCCCTCTCCGGGGTCTCCGGCAGAGGTCTTTCACATCACCTACTGCTTGGTCCTTTCAACTGGAGATGCCGGGGATTGAACCTGGGACCTTCTGCATGCTAAGCAGATGCTCTGCCACTGAGCCATGCCCTCTCCCCTCAATCTTTAAGAAGATGCCTTATACTGAATCAGACCCTTGGTCTATCAAGGTCAGGATTGTCTACCCAGACTAGTTGCAGCTCTCCACGATCTCAGGAAGAGATATTGCACATCACCTACTGCCTGGTCCTTTTTAATTGGAGATGCTGGGGATTGAACTGGCAACCTTCTGCATGCCAAGCAGAGGCTCTACCAAGGAGCCACAGCCCCTACTCAAGCCTAAAGTAAGTAATAATACTCAGTCTGACTGTGGCTGTCCAGACAAAGCTCTTTTGCATCACCTACTGCCTGGTCCTTTTAGCTGGAGATGCCGGGGACCTTCTGCATGCCAAGCAGATGCTCTGCCACTAAGCTAAAGCCCCTCTCCGGGGTCTCAGGTGGAGGTCTTTTACATCACCTACTGCCTGGTCCTTTCAACTGGAGATGGTGGGGATTGAACCGGGGACCTTCTGCATGCCAAGCAGATGCTCTGCCACTGAGCCACAGCCCCTACTCCGTCTGACTGCATCTCTCCAGGGTCTCAGGCAGAGATCTTTCACATCACCTACTACTTGGTCCTTTTTAACGGGAGATGCCGGGAACTGAAATAGGACCTTCTGCATGCCAAGCAGATGCTCTTCCACTGAGCCACAGCCCCCATCCAGGATCTCAGGTGGAGGCCTTTCACATCACGTCCTGCCTAATCCTTTAACTGGAGGTGCGCAGGATTGAACCGGGGGCCTTCTGCATGCCAAGCAGATGCTCTACCACTGAGCAAGGCTCCCTCTAAGCTGTGGAGTCCTGTGAGCAACAATTCTACTTGGTGAGCTCCTGGCATTAAAGTCGTGAGCGAGCGATTTGGCGGCTGCATGAATTAGTTTGCTCTGGAGCCATCCTTCCTGAGCAAAGACAAAAATCTGTGAGCCGGAGGCTAAAAAACTGTGAGCTAGCTCACACTAACTCAGCTTAGAGGGAACACTGCCACTGAGCCAAGTCTCCTCACCTGAATCAGCCCCTACATGTGGACCTGGTGTAGGAGCAGCAGGGGGGAATCTAACCTGTACCGAGTCTCATAGAGTTCATGGTGGGGATTCCAGCAGGGCAACCCTGTCGTTTTGTTGCAGTCAAAATAAAAAGGAATCTCACGGCGAATTAAAGACTAACAATATTCTGCCCTCCCGTGTACAATAATGTTTGACTGCCAATAAAATCATCAGATCTGAGTCCGGTAGCACCTTAGAAACCAACGAGATTGACAAGGTATGAGCTTTCTGGGGAGTCAGCATTCCCTTCCTCAGAGGCAAGTAGGAATGGAGGTCCCTGAGCCCTTTTTTCCCATTCAGAAGGCAGGAAGGGGATATAAGGGCACAGATCGCCAGTCCCATTTGTATCTGATGAAGGGAGATTTGACTCTAGGAAGCGCGTACCCTATAGCTCTCCTTAGTCTCAAAGGTGCAAAGGGAATCGGATCCAGCTGTTCTTCTTCAGACCAACATAGATGCCCTCTGAAAATAAAATTGTTGTTAGTCTTCAAGGTGGCACGAGACTTCTGTCGTGTTTTAACATTCATGTACATGCATGCTAGAGACTGGGCGCTTCCTCCCATCCTGCTCGAACATTGAATGTCAAGAAGAAGAAGAAGAAGAAGAAGAAGAAGAAGAAGAAGAAGAAGAAGAAGAAGAAGAAGAAGAAGAAGAAGAAGAAGAAGAAGAAGAAGAAGAA